GCTTGTCAAACAGCTCTGAGCAACAGAACCGCAGAGCAGAAGAGGAAACCAGAAATAGGAAGTGAAACCGTGAGATGCAAAAAAAAAAGAAGAGGCCAGTTTATTCTTGTTCAGGTTCTTCAGAACATCATTCGTGGTCCCTTCATCCAGCTGCACGTAGCAAAGTGATTCTCCGGTCACTGTCCGCCATTTCTAATAAAGAAATAATGGTTCTGAAAGGTTCTTTGAAAGGCTCCCTGGTTCTTCAAAGCACCATCACCAACTGAAGAACACCTTCGTTTAGTCGATGGTTCTTACACGGGTTTTCTTATACTTTTTTTTTTTTTTTTACCAATTTATGATTTGTTCTGTGAAAACTTTGACAAAAGTCCGTCACGGTTTCACAAATGCAGAAGTGGCATCTAGAACCCAAAACACTGAAAGTGTTTGAATGGAGGGACCCAGAAGTGACTGTCGGGTCGTGTTGTTAAAACAGAACCAGGTGGGATCCAAAAGTCTTTTTAGAATTTCTCCAAAATGACCAGAATCTTGTCCTTAATCTCCAAATCCTGGCTGAACGACGGGAGTTCATGGCGAGCTCCGTCGGTTCCAGATGGTTTTGGTTTTCATGGACCATCTCTGGGGTTCACGTTACGACATCCGTTGATCAACTCTCTGACTTGTTGTGTCGACATCACTGTGGTCAGGCTCTCACTTCCTGTTTACCTCCTCCTCTCTCTGTGGTTTTGTTGGTTCCCCAGAACAATGACATTAAACCAAACGTTTCACAAAACACCAAGACAACCAAAACTGAAAGTGATGGCGATGCCACCTCAGTGTCAGGCGTTCCAACGGTTCCTTAAAGAACCTGTTTCACCAGGTAAGTTAGTTCAGAACTGGTTCTCATTTTCAGTAAAGACCTCGCTGACCGTTTTTTGGACAACCGTATATGGTGCCTGAAGGGAACGTTTCTGAGGGGTTCTTCGAGGAACGTTTAAAGAAACGGTTGCTTAAAGAACCAACTTTTGCCGCCGTTCTTTGAAGCTGAAAGGAAAAATGTTCTGACGATTCTTTGACACGTCTTTGTGTGTTCTTAAAAGATCTGTATGAAGAAATAGTTCTTTAAAGGACCTGTTTCAGGTGAAGCTCTTTGGAGTGCCATTTATGGTGCCTGAAGAACGTTTTTGGAGCGTTCTTTGAGAGCGTTCTAAAGAACCATTTGGAGAAATGGTTCTTGCATGGTTGCCTAAGTTACCAATTGTTGCTTTGGTTCTTTTAAGTGCCATTTAAATTGTCTTTCGATGGGTGGCGGTTCTTTAGAGAACCGTTTGAAGAAATAGTTCTTGATGAAACAGTTTAAAGAAATGTTGTTTTTTAAAAAGCCTTTTCACGAAAGTTCTTTGGAGCCTAAAGGAAGGATGTTTTTTATGTGTTTTTTAAGGGTTCTTTAATGAACTGTCTAAAGAACCATGCTTCAAAGACCAGTTTATTCTTGTTTTAGTTCTTTGGAGCATCATTTGTGGTACCTTAATAGAATATTTTCAGAGGGTTCTTTGAGGGATCTTTATTGAACCATTTGAAGAAATGGTTCTTTAAGAAGTGCTTTTTATAAATAACTGTGTGGTTCTTCAGGGAACTTGGAGGGTTCTTTAAAGAAATGGCTCTCAGAAGAACAGTTTAAAGAAATGGTTCCTTGAAGTCTTTGGAGCTTCATCTAAAGTGTTGACAGGAACTGCTGTTTTGGGTTCTTTTAGGGGGTTCTCAGAAGAACCACTTGACAGAACGGTTCTTTAAAGAGTTTATCGGAGTGCACTTTGGTGTCCGTTAATCGTCTTTAGAACAACTTTCAGCTGCACTAAAGGTGATAAAGAGTTGAACTGATTTCTGCGTGAGGTTCTCCAGACGGAGCGCTGGATGGATCCCGTCCAACCGGCGCCTTTGGCTCCAGTCCAGCTGCTGTTCGTGTTCCAACAGATACCCGCAGAACATGCAGGCGGCCTGAAGGGAGTCGAATCTGATCCCGTCGCCTGTCAGAGACCCGGTTTTATAAGCAACCGGCTGGAACAGGATAAAGAACATCCGCTGGTGTGGCAAGACCCAGAGCTCGTCCAGAACAGGAAATTCCAACCCATCCTGCAGTCCTGGCAGCTCCGCTGGCAGCTCCGCGTGCAGAACCGAGTGAGAGGGTTCACGAGCGCCTCAGAAATTATGTAAGAAGCTAATGAGCGACGTCACTCGCAGCTCGGTTTTGGCCGCAGGAGTGTTTTTCCACCGTTATTGGACGAGAAGTAAACGAGGAGAACCAATCAGAGCTGCAGGAAGATTCAACATCATCCCAACAGAACAAAACAATTCCAGCCGAGTTCACAGAAAGAAACGGGCTGAAAGGTTCTGGGAGCTTTTGACCAAAAAGGGGATATGTTCAGAGGTTCACCTTCCAGCTGGAGGTGGAACCAGCAGAACCTCATCTGAGTCCAAAACAGGATTCACACACAGAGAACAAATGGAAAAAACAACACAATGCTTTTCCTGTGATTGGCTCTCAAGGACGAAACACGAACGTGTCCGAAGCACAGAGCTGAAGGTTGTTCCTACACTGGAAAACTACAGAACGTACCAAAATAAAAGCAGCGGGGCCACAAACAGCATTCTGGGAAATCAGTGACAATAGTGACAATTATACGATTATGTCTTTGTGTGAAAGCGACGCGTTTTCTACACACACAAAAAAAATGCATAAAAAAGGTGAGAAAAATGGTAGAACTTTGTAAATCTCAAAAACTGGAAAAACTTGAAAGTAAAAGTCTGTCAAATAATGTTTTTGCTGATTTCAAAAACAGCAAAAACCTGCTGAAAAACATTAGAAAAGAACAAATTACCCTTTATAAAAACACACAATTTG